GAGGGGGGAGCAGTCCTGGGGGGGCTTGAACCGCGGACTCTTTGCGTCTGCGGGGGGCGTTTCTGCGTACTAAACGTCCTGCGAAAAAAATCAAATGCAGTCTTTTGTCTTTTTTTTTCTCTTTTTCTAAAAATGGTTTCTTATTTGTGTTTTTCAGAAAGTGCAGCGGGAGCGCGGAAAAGTATGGCAAAGACAAGAACAAGAAGACGGTGGCTGAGCCCGTCGACGCCGTAGAAGCGGAAGAAGCAAACGGACGCGGCAAGCGGGAGGCCACCCCCGTCGCCGAGGAGGTAAAGCACGTCAAGAAGCCCAAGAAGGTGCCTGCGGAGGGAAAGAAGGACAAGAAAGTGAAGAACAAGAAGGCCAAGAAGGGAGAGGTGGCGGTGGAGGAGGCCACCGTCGTCGAGGAGGCCCTGGCCTCCGAGGCCGACGCCAAGGTGACCAAAAAGGCCGGCAAGAAGTCGAAGCGCAGCGCTGACGCGGCAGAGCTGGAGCAGGTGCCCCTCTCCGACAAGGCGTCCAAGGGCAAGAAGAAGAAGGCGACGGAGGCCGAGCTGGGCAAGAAGAGCAAGAAGGAAAAGAAGCAAAAGCTCGTCGAGGAACCGCAGGTCGCAGAGGAGGTCGCGGAGGTCGCCGACGTGGCCGAGGCCAAAGAGGCCGGCGCCGCCCTCGTGGAGGAGGCCGTTGAGACGTGTGCCAACGACCAGTGCGTCAACGAGCAGTAGAGGGCCCCGGCCTCCGCAGCCTCCGCGCGCGGCCGCCGTGGACGTGAATGCTCCTCACTTATTGCCAATTTGAAAGGAGACGAGGCTAGGCTAGTGGACTGTGTCGTCACCTTATGCCCTGCCTGACGGGACCCTGGGCCTTGTTCGTGCGCGGGGCGGGGGGCTCTCGTCAAGGCCGCTCTCGGCTGCGCTCGGCGTCGCCCTCGCCCTCTCCCCCGCCGCTCCAGCACTCCCCTTTTCTGGCCGCTGCCAAGGCGTGCGTTTTGCACGCGCGAATTTATTTATTGCCAGTCGCGACTCACGCGCGGGCCTTCCCCCGCCCAGCTCTGGCCCTGTGTTTAAATGCATTTACTGACGCACTGTAATTAGTCATTAGACAGGCGTCCCTGTTATAGTGTTTTAGCGCCCTGGTGGTTTTTATTTATACCATGTGTGTACATCTTCCTGTTTATTTGTTTCTTGTTTTATTGTTGCTACCAGTTTATCATGTGCCATTAATAGAGAAAGTAAACCAGATAACTTTGTTGTATTTTTTCCTCCTATTTATTATTTTTATCAAAGGAATGAATTTTTATCGTCAGACTTTCAGAGCAAATAAATTGTCTACACTAAACACACGCCAAGATAA